CCACCTCCACCAGGTACGTGTCCTCTTCACCCACACTCTTCCCTGTTACCCACACAGCGCCCTTCACCTCCGAAGAACCACCTTCGCCCTTCACCTCTCTGCGCCCTCTGCAGCCCGGCTATGGCCGCCAAGCGCCCTGGTGCACAGGCAGCGCCCTACCGCCTAGCGCTGACCTACCTTGCATCTCTCTTAGCGCAGCGCAGCAGCAGCAGCAGCTCGCATTCGCGCAGCGTGCCGGCATTGCCCGCACTGGCCAAAATCCTTGCCCACTCGCCCTTCTTGCCGATATGCCAGTGAAGCGTGTGGGCGGCCTACGTTCAGCCTGTGACCGGGGCCCAGAGGCTGAACTCAGCCCGATACAGTTGGGCCTCGGGAGATGCAATTGTGCCTCTCTCTTCAAGGCCTACGGCCAGATTCAGACAGTAGGCCTGTTTCCCTTTGCATTTTCGGCCTCTATACCCAGCGTGCATTGTCGGCCTCACGTTTAGGAGCCCAGGGCCTAACTAACTCAGAGGCCCTGGGCATTTCACCATTTGCTGAGATCCGAAACTCGGTGCACTCCAACCAACTGGCGTGTTGCAACTGTAAGGACCCCACTTCGTGAAATGTATGCACAGAGGGCTATTGTTGATTTGCTGGCTCGCCTTCACTTAAGGCGGGCACGAGGCTTGCTGGGGCCTTAGCCCAGAACATGTACATCATGGCAAGGCCCCTTTCTTGAGGGCTCATTCCTCACAATCCATCCCCCTTAGCTTCGAAAGTCCGCCGAGATGCTTACTTTGCAGGTGCCTTCCCTTTTAGCTTCCGTTCATAGTCTGCCACCACCTGAGGAGCTGTTTCCATCAGTTCCTCCCGGGTAAACCACCGATCTTCTTTTGGATCCGTATGATGCCTGAATCTGATCTGGTACTCCCTCTTGGGTTTAGGAGGTCTTCCTCGACCCAGCGGCTTCGGAACAGGCATATCCCTGTGATCCACAATGTCGTCGATATCGACTTGTCCATCCATGGTTGGGGGCAGCATCGATCTCTTGGAAGGGAATTGATCAGTCTCAGCGAAAGGTGCAAGCTTGGAGGCATGAAAGACTGGGTGAGTGCGTAGGTGTCCAGGGACACGAATGACATAAGTGGGCCCATCCATCTCATCTCCCACTATATCTAGGACTTCCAAGGGACCAAAGTATTGAGGCATTAGTTTGCGAGAGACTCCGAATTCTTGTCCTAGCTCGCTAGCCTTGAACCAGACACGTTCCCGTACCTTAAATGTGGATTGTCTACGATGTTGATTCTCATAAGCAATCATTGCTTGCTGAGCTTTCTTCATGTGCTCGACGGGTCTTGCAACAACTTCTCATATTGCACACCATATTCTAGTGTGTCTGGGGTTGCGGAAGATCGGTTTTTAGGTAGGAGGAAGTCTAACGCGGATCTAGGCTTCCATCCCAAGTGTAACTGATTAGGACTCACGCCGGTGCTGTTGTGCACAACATTGTTGTACAGACTGGCGATGAGTGGCAACTGTTCATCCCAATCATCTTGGTTGGGCTTGATGTAATGCCTCAGCAAGTGCTGTACAACCCTATTCATCTGTTCGGCTTATCCGTTGGCTTCGGGATGATTCCCTGAAGTCATCTGAAGTTGACTGCCCAATTGTTCCGCAGTCTTCTTCCATAGCTCACTTGTGAATCGGACGTCTCTATCACTAACGATAGTCTTTGGTAAACACAAGTCCCGCACCCAGTTGTCCTTAAACAACTTGATGACATGGTCAGTCCTCGCGCTCTCTGGCATGGCCACTAGTCTAGCGTACTTGGTGAATCGGTATATGATGACGAAGATGTGCCTCTTACCACTCTTGCTAGTTACCAGGGTGTCCATGAAATCCATGAAAACACTCTGTCCTGGACCAGCGGGAATAGGTAAGGGCTTAAGCAACCCAAGCAGTGCTTGAGTTCGCGGTTTGTCCCGCTGACAGACCTGACAGGTTTCTATGTACTTTTTTACGTCATCGAACATCCCAGGCCACCAAAATCGATGTACTAGATTAGCACTCGTTTTCTTGTAGCCAAAGTGTCCCGTTGCGTCATGACATTCTCCTAAAAACAAACTACGCAAAGGTTCACTAGATGGAACTACTAGTCTCTTTATTCCGGCCTTATCAAGATAGAGAAGCCCGTCCACCATCACAACTCCGTTTCTGTGGCCTTGTCTTTTGCCTGAAGCTTGTGAATGATGTCCATCATGACAGATTCTTCCTGATAGGCTCTCACCAACGATTGAGTTACTTCGTCAATATGCCAAAGTCAGAAACTAGCGCACCTAAGTAATCCGCTCTACGGGATAGCGCGTCTGCAACCTTGTTGTACTCTCCCTTCAGATACTCAAGCTTGAAGTCATATTGGTCTATGACCTCAATCCATCGCTTGAGTGCATCGGAAAGAGGCGGTTGAGTCTTGATCCATTTGAGGGTCTGATGATCAGTCCTCAGATAGAAGAACCTTCCCAAAAGGAAGTGTCTCCAATGGACAAGTGCCTTGTAGAGAGCATAGAGTTCCCTTTAGTAGGTGGACTTAGCCAACTTCTTCGATGGCATCTTCTTACTCATGTACTCAATCAGTCTCAACTTTTTCCCATCCTGCTGAGCCAGCACTGCACCAATGCCGTATTGGTTTGCGTCAGTGGTCACTATGAATGGCTTCTGCGGATCGGGAACCATGAGAATTTCATGATTCATGAGTGCATGCTTCAATCTTTTGAAAGCACGCTCGCACTCATCACTTCAGTCCCACGGTGTGTCAAGTCAAGTTAGATCAGTCAAAGGAGAGGCGACTGTAGAATAGTTCTTAACGAAGTTTCTTTAGTGGGCGCACATTCCTAAGAATGACCTGACCTCAGTGACTGTCTGAGGTCGTGGCCAGTCTCGAATACTAGCCACCTTTGCATCTTCCGGCCTAATCCCCTCCGCGGATACTTCATGACCCAAGTATAGTATCTTAGTCCGACCGAATTCACACTTCTCTTAGTTGACCTTATACTTGTGCTGTCGTAGGAGTGAGAGTACAGTCTCAACATGTTGTGCATGCTCCTCGGCAGACTTACTAAAGATCAGGATGTGGTCAAGGTAGACCACGACAAACTTATCTAGATGGTCACGGAAGATCCGATTCATAGCCTGCTGAAATGTACCCGACGCATTACAAAGACCGAAAGGCATCACTTCAAACTCATACAGACCATATCTAGTCTGAAAAAGTTGTCTTGTGTTGGTCCTCAGGTCTTATTGGGATATGGTGATATCCGGATTTCAAGTTTATCTTAGTATAGTACTTGCATCCCTACACCCTATCCAATAGGTCGTCTATGCGAGGTTGAGGCTCTGCGTTCTTCACAGTGATGGCATTGAGGCCTCTATAGTCAATGCACATCCTCAAAGTACCCCCCTTCTTTGGTACGAATAGCACGGGAGATCCGTAAGGGGAAGTACTAGGCCGAATCCATCCCTTCTCTGTCAGCTCCTTTAGTTGCTTCCGAAGTTCATCTAACTCGGCAGGGGCCATCCTATAGATCCTTCCCTTTGGGGTCTTACTCCCTGAAATGATTTCTATAGCGTGGACGACTTCCCTATCAACAACTCTTGAGGGCTCTTCGAACAGATCAGGGAACTTAGCAACGACGCGTTCTATCTCTGGGGGTGTTTTAACGGCCTCACCCTTCTCAGAGACATAAAGAAGGTACATACCTTCCTCTTGGTTTTGCTTATAGTAGTTGTAGAACGCAGATGCGCACAAGCAGCCATAGGTATCTATAATACTACTGGCCTTAAACTTGGTCAATCTTACAGTTCGGCCATCGGGCAACTTGTGTTTGAGCACCTTCTTATCCCAGTCCAACTGGGGCTTAGCAACTTTGAGGTAGTACATGCCTAACAGCATATCGAATGGCAAATCGTCGCTAACCAAGAACGAGATCTTATGGTTAAGCTCACCTCCTCCATAGGAGAAGGTACAGACTACGTCCTTTATGTAGTCTGTCACTATCGTGCGCTCCTTGTTCGCCAAAGTATATACAGGTCTACTAAGGTGTCGTACCCGGTCCTGTAGGTGCAGCCTTTCCAAACAGTCGCGACTTATGTAATTTCGTGTGAAGCCTATGTCTATGAAGGAACCACATTTGCGGCCTCCTACATCGACCTCCACCACAAAATGTTCCCCTCTAGGACCTTTCCTTAGCGCCACCTAAGACTCACGAGGGTCCTTGTTTGACCACTCACTCTCTAAGTCTTCTAAGGCTTCAGACACATCTAACGTACAGAGCATAGTTTGGTCTAGTTGTGTTTGCGGGGTGACTAAGGGGTCATTAGCCTTGGCCTTGTCATGAAGTGGGGAGGGTATCAATCCCACTTCATCTTAAGTAGAAACGGCTAATACTTTCACTGGCCCTATGCGTTTCCCGAGCTAGAAGCCTGAGAGTAGGTTGCCCCCATCTTTGGAGCTACCTTCTGCGTAACCTTAGCGTTCTGGCACTTGTACTGTGAGTGTCCGTACTCCCCGCAGTTTATACAAGCACCACGCGTTCGGTGGTCACACCACACGTCTTGATCAAGACTTGCCTTTACCCACTCAGCCTGCTTGGTCTGATTGGAGGCGGCCTTCCCTTGACCCCTAGGCTGGCCCTTCCCTCGGCCTGTCGCCTTAGTCTTAACTACCGCGGCGAGGGTGCTACCCTTTGCTACCTCCTCGTCGTCATACTCTGAATAGTCCACCAGGTCAGAGAGCTCGTCGATCTCAGTTTGAGTCCCATCAGACTCCACCATCATCAACTTTTCCCCCTTCTTCTTCCACTCATGGGAACTCTTCTTCTTCTTTGAGTCAGTCCCTGAGGTGGGTTGAGCATTGCCTAGAGTGGCCTCTAAGTCTAAGGCTTTCCTAGACAATGTCTCAAACGAGTGGTACTCGGTGCATTGATGTTTTCTGGGAGACATCTGACAAAAGTTGTCAAGAGGAACTGGTCGTTGTAGTTAATGCCTGGGACGAGGATCAGGCTCTCAACGGTAGTCGTAAGCTCTCTAACCGTCTTGAACTTTCGTTGGTCCAATTTGTTAATGGCATCAGTGGCCCTTTGTGCCTCCTGTGGGTTATGCCATCGAGCTTCTATCATCTCCATAAACTGGTCTAATGTCAGTGACTTAGCCCAGTCCGCCATGCGTCTCCCATACCCGGTCTTGATAACTACACCATCTAACCATTTGGTTGCCTTACCCTCAAGGTAAGATGCAGCAGTTACCACCTAGTCCTCAGGCAAGGTCCTCTAAGCCTTCACCCAAACCGGGACGGTCCTCAACCATGTGTTGAGTTCCTCGTCCTTTCTCTCGCCTGAGAAGGCAAGAGGGGGTTTCATCGGGGTTTTAGGATACCATTGACCTTGCTGCTGTCCCTGTGTAGGAACAGGTTGTTGCGGTGGTGTAGCAATTACCGCTGGACCCGAAGAAGAAGATGCAACAGTCTGTGCGGCTGCTGCAGATGCGCCACTTGGCTGTGTGCCAACTTGAACCGGAAAGGGGCCTGACATCGCCGATAACGGCAACGACGATTGTGTAGGTGGCCGGAATCCTGGCCTTGTCAAAGCATCCAGGATCTGGTCTAGAGTGCTCTGCATGAAGTCTAATTTGTTGTCCACGTGTGCGTGCAATGACAGCATATTCTTCTTCAATACTTTCAGCGGGTCAGTCAATGCTGACTCATCCAAGCCCTCTAATTCAGCCTTGTCAGCCTCTAAAGAATCAAGCCTGACTCCTCTAGTTTTCTTTGCATTTTCTCTATCGGTAGCTTTTTTCAGGTCCTACTCTAACTTACGGCGGAGCATCTCGACCTGTTGGATCTTTCTGAGCTCCCACTGACGCGGGGTCAACGGGCTGAACTGCGAGCCCGCCATTTGACTAGAAGACTGTCTAGAACCTATGGAACCGGAAGTGCCCGAGGAACTTGTAGAACTTGTTGGCATTCCCAACTGGCCCCCATTAGTCCCTGACGAGGACACAGATGATGACGCAACAGAGCTTGCGCCGTTGGCCATCGCTGCTGCTCTGGCTGCTTTTGCCTGCTCTCTAGATGCTGCGTTTGCTGCTGCTATCCCCGCTGCTAGCGCACGGGCTCTACGTAGCCGTGTTTCTTTTCCCGGATCTAAGGCCTGGAACACGTGCGGTACCTTTAATGCCCGTGCACGTGTTAGTTTCCTTTCATCAGCTCTATCATCAACAACGTCTGAACCGCTCATTAGTTAGACAGATAGCGTCTACACTAGAATCCCCTAATGGAATCCTACCGCAGCATGTATTTGACCGGCACGTAATTTTCTATAAATAGTTGTGTCCGACGAGTTGCCCACTATACCGAATCAAGTGGCATGTCTACAACATTCACACAGATTG